GGGGGTTGAGCGTACGTCCATCTGATTGTCGCATGAGAGCAGACCTCATCTACAACATTAATCAATTGATGCTACAGTCTATTATGAAGGAACATTTAACAGCCGTAAAGTTTCTAAGACCGAAAGATAACAATCCTTCAAGAATAAAAATTAAAGTAAGTGTAATTTGCTAACAAATAAGTACAAGAAAGAACATTTTTACGCACGTTTCCTATAAAATACAATGAAATTTATGAGGGTAGTTCAAATCAACAAGAATAGTGTATACTACTTAAGCTGTCATATTTTACACAATATTATTTTCGAAGGTGGTCAGAAGGAGATTGATTAAAAAAGCGGCATTCTTGAGATACGGCTAACCCTAGCCATAAAATAAGCCCAACTCTAATCCTAAAAAGTTTAACAATAAGACATGCAGTAACATAAGGCCCCCTGATCGGATCTACCAACAGCATTACACGCCTACATAACTGATATAAGTAGCCAAGTTCGTAATAATTATAACATGTTTAGGAGGTTTGCAGATTTGCTTATTTTTAGCTGACCCACCTTAAAAAAACTCGCGGCTTTCGGCGGGATTTGAGCCCGCATAGTAGAGAAGGCCTTTACGCGAAGCCAACACTCTTACCAATTGAGCTACAAACGCTACAACTCGTGCCATGACGCCTAAGTACTAATCCGGGGATTAGTAGGCCTTTTTGTTATCTTAATGTGCATATAAAGTTTCAGAAGGGTAAGGTACATTAAAAATACAAAGCAAAGAAGTGTACATAGGTAAGAAAAAGTCCTTGTTTCCGGCAAAATTGTCCTGTAGGGCAGCCCAGTTATCTATTCTCCCTCCCCAACTGTCTTATGGAATTGGTGGTTCAACATTCAATTCTTGGTTAACGAATGTTAATGAATATGTAATTGGGTTGAAAGTGATAAAATAATATTCAATAAAGCCACTTATTATGGTTTTAATGAGCTAAATATAATCAACTCTACCAACATAAATTCCTGTTTCTCAGGCAACTGATGCCTATTGATGGAACTTCAACCTTATATTGGCGGAATTTAGCAAAAAAATGGAAAGTCGGGCTATTAAAAGTGTAGAAGTAGTTTTCTTACTATAATTCAAAGGCAAATAGACCCCTAAAGACAGTCCTACCTTTTTTCCTAACTTTTCTTACAGCATAGAGAAGAACCCTATCCGTTTCCGGTGATTTCGAAATTACCCTGCAATCTGGATGCTTTCACCAACCCCAAACTGCGGTGTCTTCGAGAGCCCTGCGTATCTGCGGCCGAACTAGAAATAGGTCGTTTGGCGGCGTCCAGGACAAAGGACTCGCGGTCGCGACCACAAACACTCCTCGCCTTAGTAAGTAACATGCTATGTCGAAATGGCGGCCGACGGGACCAGAAGGGAAAACTCAGTGCTTTAAATGAAGGCATTAAAGTACTACAAAAGACAATCACTGCCTTGGGACGAAACCCAAAGACTGCAGGTTCGTTTAGCAGAAGCAGGATTTTTTAAATGCTCCAAAATAGGTAGATTTTAATCATTTTTCAGCATAACTTACGATTTATAGCGACCGATGCGGCAATCTAAAATCCTCTATTTTCTTTAATAGATACACCCACTATATTCGAGGCTTGTTTAAAAGGCATCGCGCTGCGCAAAACGACACAGTTGGAAATGCCATCAGTGAAGGGTAAGCATACTGTGTCATATGTCCAGATTACTACCCTTTGTTTTCATACAATAACCACTTTTAAGATGCTAATTAGGCAAGTGCAAATTTGCTGCCTTTTAAACTGTAGTATACGATTTTCACTAGTTCGTTGCTGTTTAAACGCAGGTGCGATTTCAGTTTTATATATTTTAATGCTATTTTCTGTGTTTAGATAATCCGGCTACTTTCACATCAATAGAAGAGGCAGCGATTCGTCTGATTGTACGGTAGGTTTTATTTGTTATTCCGTTCCCCTTTGAGCAAACGGATAGTTTGAGCTATGTCTATTTTAATGATAGCCCCTAAACATATTAGTCTGAGACGTAGCAAGACAAAAGTAATTTAGGAACCTCTTTGTCTCACTTGGGGCAGATAGCTATCCTTAAAAAAGAGGCTAATTCCATTCTGAAGAACAAGAGTTATCAAGCCATGTTGTGACGAAGAATTGCAGTGATTAGCAATTATTAACCCCTTGAATGTGTTTAACATCCACACAAAGTCTCCAGAGTTGCAGTACTACAAGACACTATCAGGACGCATAAATCAGCGGAATTCCAGCTGAAATTGCGTATTATAATACGGCACATGCCTTTATTATGTGATCCACAAAATGATGCTGAACCGAAGGTCTGCCGATCCACTGCCTGAAACGAACCAGTTTTTAAGCCTGCTTTTTTGGAGCGTTCTCGTCTTCGCCGATTTATCTGTGTGTTTGTGTGTTTGTGTGTGTGTGTGTGTATGTGTGTGTGTGTGTGTGTGTGTGTGTGTGTG